ATAGTGTAAGCTGGAATTGACAGAACTTTGTTTACAATGCATCACACATATGCAGACACACAGAACCCCAAAACAGATAAAATGCTGAAACAGTTAGAGGTAATTGCAGCTTAAAAAATAGCAGACAGCCAGCAGACAGCGAGAGGAAGCAAATCGGTTTACTCTGTTATGATAAATTGCAAGCAATGATAACCCTGGGGTCTGAGGTAATGTGCATACTCGCACTACACATTGTTCATTGTTAGCAGGGTGCTGCAGCTCATGTAAAGAACAAGTATGGATCTGACACTTAGTTTTGTTACACCCACACGGACAGACCTCGTTAGAGAACTCTTTGTGCGACACCTCCGCACCTACTGTTCTAAAACAGTTGTGTTCACAGTGTTTAAAGGAGCATGTATAGGGCATGACCTTTATTCATGCCTGATCACAACTCAATTAAATCTTATTGTTTGTTTAGCATTATGTTTGTTTAAATAAGCTGTTAATATAAATGAGCTATAAAATAAAATCATATTTAAATACAGCCAGAAATATCTTGTTGGTTCCTGTGACATATATGCATATAAACAAACAAGGAGTAAAAGAGAATTATGCTGTACATTGAAGAAATACAGCAAGAAAAATTAAGAAACAACATTTTTAGATTTAGTATCCACCAACACAGAACTAACTTTTTATGCACTAATTAGCATTGCACATATATTTCTTCCGCCCTCAGCTGTCCCTTTGTTAAATTGCATGAAGTATACACATTAAAGTAGCTGGTTAATTAGAGGCCCAGACTTTCCACATGATATGAAATTGTGAAAATGAGGTTTGGATGCTATTCCTCCAAGCCAATATTTAACCATAAATCAAAAGTAATGCCATAGTGTATTTATTTATTTTTTTTTAACTAAATGAAACATAATGACAACAAATTGACCTTTCTGGTCTTGGCTAAGAGGCTAGTAATCAAATTCTGTTTAACATTTACTGGATCCAGTAATTACTAATTAAATTCTTTTAAAACAAGTATTAAAGGGGGGATACCAGACTTTCTTCTTGAAAAATCTCTCTTCTTTTTCCCATACAGATATTTCTGAGATCAAATCAGACAGCTGCTTGGTGTTTGCATATTATTATAAATAATTTTATTGATCACAAACCCAGAAAAAAAAGACTACAGATGTAACAATGTGGTGATCACTGTTCTGATAAAATAAATACTATAGCACCTAAAATAAAAGAAAAATTTATCCTTGAGCTGTCAACTCTTTCAATCAAAGATTCATGATAGTGTTTTTTCGAGCTTCTCATAGACCATTTTCAGCAGCCCTACAGCTTTACAACTATGGCAAACTCATTTATCACATTGGCATATCTTTAATAAAAGTTATGACATTTTTATCTCTTCTATTGAGTAGAAGGTTAAGTACACAGCTGCCAGCCTGAAGAATTCGATAATGCTGAAAAATGCTACAGCAGGCAGGAGCAGTGAAAACATTTGATTTTTGATTGTATCCCCATTCAAATCATGAACTGAGTAAAATGACAGTGCCAGGTACCCAGCAGAGAAGCCTGGGTGGATAAAAGCTACAGATGGAGGGTGGAGGGTTGGTGGTAGTGTGGCAGGTGTCTGGTCGGTCAGCCAGGCTCTGCTCCGGTGCGCAGTGGGGCTTGAAGGGGAAACAGGAGCGCGTGCTGGGTCCGAGAGCCGCAGCCAAAGGGAAGCCTCTTCATCATGCCAGATTGCCTGTCTGCGTGCTTTCTGCTGTTCATACGTCGCCCTCCCCATCATCCCCACATTCCAGGGATTGGTTTTCCACTACTGCCCATCAGGGTGTAATTGAATCCCTAGGTGAGTGTGGATGGATGGAGGCACAGTCGCTGCTGACAGCCCGAGTGCTGCAGTGCCCTAAACTTGGGAATAGTCGCACGCTTCACACAAGAAAAAAAAAAGAATAGAAAAAAAAAAGGTACAGCGTTTAACTGTTGCTTTATTCCTGCATCCCCCACCTCTGGTTCATTTACATACAGTCTGTGTTTTATTATCTTCTCCTAAGGTGGTTGGATGGATCTGAGGCAGTGGGGTGTAAAACAAGATCGTACTTATACAGCGGGCACATGCAATACACAGCGTCCTTTTCAGTCCCCTGGACCTGGGCACTGGATTCACTACTGTCTCCAGGGAAGTTCTAGGCTCACAGTCTTCATTCATCATCAGTAGCACAATGGAAAGCTCAGCTAAACCTAGATACACTAACTTGAAAGGCTATACTGTAAACATGGACTGGGCATTGTACGCATTCTCAGGCAAAATAATATAGTCTAAACCATATTTTACTGTAACAAGATATTCCTAGATAATCTTTGCCTTTTTAGTAACTCGTTGTCCAAACTATAGTGAAATATTGATTTGAATAAAAACGCATTCTTCACAAAACGCTAAACCTTGAAATAGACTCTTATTATATTACCTATAGAATTCTTCTGCAGGATTAGATTTTTTTTAGCTTGAGGTTTTCATTTCAAAGAGGCTGACAAAGACTTACTCAAACCAGAGCAAACATACACTTTCAGGTAAACAGTTTTATCTGATTTTCAATAATATAGACACCAGCAAAGAAGATTTATCTCTGAAACAAAGATTTTACAGTTAAAGGTGCACTATGAAACATTTCATGAGAGGTAAACCACCTGCTTGTCTCTGTGGCTTTACCTCCACAGCATCAAATCAAGCATCTATCACCATGGGGACAAGTAAGTAGGTGACGCCGTAAGGCCAAGTAGGTCAGATCTGAAGAGATCCAACCTTGCTCACAGTAAAAATGCACACTTTTCAAAATATTTTTATTAGCAAAACTCCTATAGGGACTTAATTCTGGCATATTATGGAATGTTCCTGATAAACCGATGGCATTTTTTTTTTTTTTTTACCATAAGTGTTAGGTTGAGTACCTTTAAAGTCTGCATAATGTTGTATTAAGTTGCACCGTTTTGTCCATTACACCCTTTGAACTCATTTTAATCACATTTAACAACAGTATTGATTTGTGACTTACCTGACTGCTTATCTACAACCATCAGATGATTCACAGATTAGTTAATCCCACTGTGTAAACTGAAACCTGTTTTGAGCTTTGTCATTTCTTGTATTGCATTTGATTCAAAAGACACTCCACATGTAGTAGGCGCCACACTTAAAAACCCTGCTATGCCAGGTGACAGGTCCAATACAGAAGTCACACAAATCATCTGTGAAAATGTTTTCTTGGTGATGCTCAAGGCCTTTTAAGAGCTGCAGTCAGTATCACATGCTGCTGCTCTAAAAGGAATCAAATGGCATGAATAATGTGGAGTAGATTGTAGTGCTTTGAAGAACTCTTTATTCTAATTGTTGACTGTTGTGGCACTTAACTGTCGAGACTAGCCCACTTTTCCCAAACAATAACAGCACGCACTCGGATTGAAGCAAACATAACAAACTGTGCAAAACTGTGGATGGCTTGACATGGTGCTAATTGATCAGTATATTAGCAGTGCAACATTTCAATTCCTCCTGCTTGTTGTGCTTACCAAAATATATTATTTAATCATTTAAACAATTAGCACTTTCTAAAATAAGGTGTTAATAAATGTTCTATAGCTAAATGTTTAATAAATCATAAATCTGCTCTAAAAGCTGCTCAGGGACAGCTCAAATGATGAGAGTGAATAACTAATTACCAGCACAAAA